TTACTCACCCTCCCTACTCTACAGATACAGAATGCTATCAAAAAGTTCTTAAGGAGACGCAACACGTGTGAAGGAAATCTTTCAAATTTGTGACAATTTCTAGATAATGAAACTTATAAATCCGTTTATGAAAAAAGATTTCACATCAATGAAATTAATCAGACATTTTTTCAATGTATTACTGTATGCTTCAAACTTGACATGTCCCTTCATGACATTCAAATATGACTCTCATATAACCAAAAATAAGTAGATTACTGAAGATATCAAGAAGGAAGGTAGACAACTGAGAGAACTTTATCGATTAACAAAAACATGATACAATTCTACCGAGATAAAAAAAAATAGCATGAAAATAGAAATATGTATGTGCAAAAGGAAATATTACCAGAACAAAATTTTTAGCCCAGAGAGTATACAAAGTCAAAAAAAGAAATGTGGAAAACTGTGAGTGAACTAACTGTAGAAAAAAATAAATAATATTCTAAGAAATGTACATTGGACATAAATTGATAGCGGATGAATTTATTACAGCTAACGAATTCGCCAAATATTATTCATCTGAAGTGCCAAATAGTTTGAAAAGATATTTTAAAGATGTCAACCTTTCGGGGACTATTGATCTTGTCGGTAATTTGGATAGTTTTTTTTAACCCTGTTATTCCATCGAAAGTTGACAATGTTATTCTTGGACTCAAACACAAAAATTCTACTGGCATGGACTGTCTCTCGACAGAAATAATCAAAGCCATTTCTGAGTATATATGTGAACCACTTGCATATATCATCAACAAATCTGAGGAAGACGACATTTTTCCAGATATTTTGAAAGTAGGAAAAATTGTTCCTCTCCTGAATAGAAATGATCCCTTGTTGATTGACAACTACCACCCAAGCAAAGTAATTGAATCATGTATCTACAGTGTGACCCATTTTTAATGGAAAAACCCCCCTAAAATTTGAAGTTCTGAATCGATCTTAATAATTTTTTTTTAATGTCAAGTACTAAAATGTCTGGGACAAAATTTGAAATGTTCATTAAAGTTTCAGGGCATACTACGATATTTTTTCTTAGTCGAAAATCGGGATTTTTTATTAGCGATTTTTTTATTGAAAAAAAAAACACTTAAATCAGAGTGCCTCTAAGTAAGTGTGACCAAAATTTCATGAAAAAATATCCATTATTGACAAAGTTATGACAACTCAAAAATTCGAAAACTCACACAGTCACAATATATCATTTTTTTAATGATTTCAAAATAAAGTACCATCAGATGGAAAAAAAAACAAATAGCGTAAATATTTTTAATGAAAATAACGGAATTACATTCACACAATTCAACTAACAATAAAGCAAAAAATTTTAATAAACGTAACTAATAACTAATTATTGAAATGTTTCGATTCAGTGCAACAAATAATTCTAACTCATATTCTAGTAGCCTCTACTAATCCACCACGTATTTCGATACATGTGTCGTAGCGCTTACGAATGTTTCTAATTACGTTCCTTAGTTCTTGAGGGCTAATATCTGCACATAACTGTCGAATTCTTGCATTCATTTCTATCTCTTGAGCGATTTATGCAAACCTTTTGTGTGAGAAGTCCCCAGAGAAAAAAGTCCAAACCTGTGAGGTCTGGAGATCTGGGTGGCCACTCTATAAACGGACTACCACGGCCTATCCATCGGTTTGGAAAATGTTTGTTAAGCCATTGCCTCACAGCTCTGGTATAATGAACTGAACACCCATCTAACTAGACAATTAAATTCGATCGTTCATTGATTGGCAGCTCGTGAATAGCATCCCAAAACTCTGTGTATAAAAATTCTAGAAACCTCTGCGCATTAATAATAACGTGTATGGGATGTTCCACAGATATTCTTGGAGAAAACTGTAACAATACTGTTTTTTCTGCATTGACCATAAGTTAATTTCTTTGACACCACTTTGACAAATTCTGACTTATAACATTCCATTCTTCTTGAAGTTCCGAAGGACTGTCAGCTTCTGCGAAAATATAAGTATCATCGGCAAAAAGAATTATCGTAGTATGCCGATATGTTGTGGTAAATCATTTATGTATAGTAAAAACATTCGGAGCGCCAGCTCATTCCACCCAGGAAGTTTCTAGGAAACTTGTCGAACTCTTCGACGATCGTTGGTTTAGGCGTTTAGGGCCGTGGGATTGGCCACCTAGATCACCCGATCTCACGCCACTCGACTTTTTTTATGGGGGGTTTCAAAAGAAAGGGTATACAGTACTCCAGTGTCTACCAAAGAAGAATTGCGACGGCGAATAGTGCGGAGTATTGAAGATCTGGATCCCCAGAAAATTGAAAAAGCAACCACAAGTCGCGTACAAAAAAAAACATTTCAAAGTGTTTAGAATGTAATGGACAGCATTTTCAACATTTATTGTGAAAATGTGATATTTTGTTTATAATTTTGTTATTTTGAATCATCCTATTCTGGTTATTGTCTGTACTTTCACATGTTTCAGCTCACAAAATCTTACTTTTTACCTAGAAATGACTGATTTTTGGTACAGTTGTTCCCTGGAAACTTTGAGCCATAGTTAAGGAAATTATTTTGTAACCTTACAAACTTCCTCTCGTTCATTGGTGTTAATTCAGGATACATTTGGTTGAGTTTTTTACACGTTCTGACAATGATTTGATAACTTTGTTCATGTATATAATGAATAATTTCATAAAAACTTCGTTTGAATAATCGATATTCGCATTCATTTTGGAAGATGATTCGAAACACCGTCGATAACTCTTTGTGAATTACTTATAAAAGTAATCGAACTGCTATAAGCTTGATGATTCCACTGCTACCTTAATCCAAATTCTAAAAAAAAATAATGTCACTAGAAGAAGCGACTTTATTGAGAAAACTTGACGATTTAGGTATAGGGATATGATATATCATCTTGAAGCATTTTTCACCATCTTTCAATTTACCGAGTAATATACAGGGGGTTTCATTTGAAAAAATGAACTTTTGACTACTTTTATGCACAATGGAAATAATAGTAATTTCAGCACGCCCTATATGATATGGAGTTGATTTCTTGGTGTTATTTGAATATTTCGAGTTTGTCCAAACAATCCTCAAAATATCAACTTTTCATGAATTGAGAGTACCTACTGATGTACTTAATTTCAATTAAGGCTATGTTTTGGACCATATTTAGCACAATTCATTTTTCATCTCGAAAACAGATAGAGATAGGTATTGGACATTATCAACTAAAAAGTATCAAAATACCAGAGCAATTCCAAAAATGTATTAATATACAGGGTGTTTCATTCAAAAAAATAAAGTTGCTAGGACTTTTTGATGGAAGTGGCAACGCCGCAATGCTGAAAATATTTCAGACCGATAGAACAGGTAAGGAAATGTAAGAGGTGAAATTTTCAGAAAAATCATGTTTTGCGTTTTCCAGAAACGTCTAACCTATCATCGACCGTGAGTCATTGGCCATTCTGTGCATATGAAAGAGACCTATGAAAACCTAGAAATAATGTTGAATGAAATTGGCTATTTGGCTCATGGTTGGATGATATGTGGTGGCTTGAAAGTAACATGCATGCTTCTTGGTCAGCAAGGCGATTTTACCAAATTTCCATGTTTTTGTGTGAATGGGACAGTAGAGCAAGGGATCAATATTGGTGCAGAATGGACTGGCCTGTGACGAAGTCTTTGAAACCCGGCGAGAAGAACATTCTCCGCAGAAACCTTGTAGATCCTAAAAACATTCTCTTACCACCTCTACATATGAAATTGGGCCTCATAAAACAGTTTGTAAAGGCATTTCCTGAAGGTCATCTTGTTTCAAGTACCTGTGTAAGAAATTTCCAAACCTTTCGGAGGCTAAACTTAAATAAGGCGTCTTTGTAGGACCCGACTTTCGAAAAATGATGTTTGATGTAAACTTCGAAACCACAATGACCATACCTGAGAAAGAAGCATGGATATCATTCAAGTTAGTTGTTACAAAATTCTTAGGAAATGCAAAAGACCCAGAATATCGTACCATTGTAGCTAACAGGTTGAAGAATTTTAAGAAACTAGGATGTTTGATGAGCCTGAAAGTCCACTTTTCGAACAGTCATCTTAATTACTTCTCGGAAAGTTTGGGAGATGTTAGGAGCAGGGTGAGCGTTTTCACCAAGATATTAAATTGGTGAAAAAACGATACCAGGGCCGCTGGAACATCAACATGATGGGAGACTACTGTTGGTCACTTCACCGTGAAGCTCAATAAGTGACTCATCGCAGAAAAAGCTACACAAGAAACTTCAAAGAAAAAAGAGAAACTAAGTATAAACCAATTCCATGTGGCTAGTGAAACCTACATTACAACACTGTATCATTATTTCAAGTAACCTACTGTAAATAAAAACTATGATAGTGATTTAACAAAGTGTGTCATTAATTTCACCATATACCGTACAGATTTTGAATTACATAAAAAAAATCAATTTCTCAAAAACTATGGATGATACAAAAAACTAAGACCATATTTGGATTCAGTTTTTAAAGTAAACAAAGTTATCAAAAACATTTTTTGTTGGTCTGTGTAATTAGAGAGCGTCTTTACTTCTTAAATCAAAATTTGACGGCCACCAGTAAAGATTTGTATTCGAGAATGCATATTTTCGAAAAACATGCTATAACTTAAAAACGATAATAGAAATCGATATGCGGTTTTCATCAATGATTTTGTCATAAAATTTGACCCGCAGACAAAGCTAACAATTTTCATCTATCTAGTTTGAAAACAGTAGTTGCCCTTTAAAAGTATACAATTTGCCCACTCTACACTAATTAGTGCACATGCATTGGTGCATTCATTTCCATTATTAATTGGTGTAGACGTAGATAGCTGAAAATGTTTTCTTCCAATCAATAATTTGTATGATTAGATGAAAAATTCATGATAAAAAATAGATACGAGTGAATTTCTGATGAAAGTTTTCTTTTTTCAGAGTTTGTACCTGGCTGTTGGCAGAATGACATTCGAAACTACCTTTCGAAAACCTGGCTCAAAACAGCAATTTCAAAATGGAAACTCCATGGAGTTCCTCCCAATCCATCGGTTTTGAAATTCGCAATGAACATTATTATATGGATGTGTGGAAGAAAGCAAACGTTTGAGTTGTTACTTGAAGATAATTTACTCTTAAACTCAATCTCAATTTTATTTAAATTCATAGATTTTGGTATGGGAGAAGAATATGATGTATTTGTGAAGTTGGTGTCTTCCATGGCTGATTATGAATCCAGTTTACAAATACTATTGTATCCAAGATATTGGAATACTATTATGCGGCTGGGAATTGCTTATAGTTCTCGAAACATGTCGACTTCAACTAGCAAGTGCGTTGCTAAGATCGTCAGAAAATCTGCTTCACTAGATGAATTTTCGAGTAAATCGATAGTATATGAAATGGTGTGGCCTTTTATCGGAGCTTCAGATAGAAAATCAGAATTTGTTGAACCGATAAGGACAGTTGCAAACCATGAATTGATCTTTCTCAGTTTACACTTCATAGTCGACGTTCTGGAGAATTTACTGGAATATCAGATAACCATGAATAAACAAGAAATTTTTGGACTATCTACAGAAAGAAATCATATGGTGAAATATGTGCACAGAATGTTAAAAACTCACACTAACGATGAATTGATTCAAGATTTATGTAAAGTACTAGTAATTTTATGCTTCGCAGACATACATATTGGAATGAATGACAAAAATGGGAAGTACCATACTATGAAAAATTTGCCAAGGAAAATATTCAAATTGTTGTATGACATTGACTCAAATGTGTCACTGAAAAATACTTTGAACTTAATCAATACGTGCGTTACTTATTGGGACATATTGCATAAGAAACTTCCAGATATTTTAAAAACCGAGTACAAAATAAGTCTGTCCCCAAAATGTCAATTGGCATTTTTATTGGCATATAACGCCACTATTAATAGATTCAGAACGTTCAATCTGGCTTTATCAAAATATGTAGAGGAGGATTCTCTGCGTTTCCAATATTCTAAAGTATCAAAATCCATACTACCGGAAGTTCGGAGAATGTTTTACAAATGGAAAGACAATTCAAATCAGTACCTCGGCTTCTCTCAAGGAATCCTTACCCTGCAACATCTTATAAAGTCAATAAAGCAGTATAACACAGTTCAGGCGATTTGTATCTTCCAATTTTTGATTTACAATTTCAAAGACATTTGTCAAATCATGAAGACGAGAACAAATCTAGTTACATCTCTTTTCAATCAACCCGAGTACATGACTATTCTATTTCAATGTATTACAGCATTCATCGAATATCTGCCTTATTCTTGGTACCATTCTGTTGAAGCCCTCAATATACTGGACTTCATCTATGATTTTTTGGTTTTCCTGGATTGGCCTGCAGATGTAAGTAAATGTGTGTACGTGTTTATATTATAAAACAAACTCCCGTCATATATGTCTGTGTAAACACGATATACTAAAAATCTACTGACGGAGTGATTGGAGAGAAAAGTTTTTGTTCGAAAAAATGGTATATATCGAGTTAAATACGTTAGTCCTCTTAAGCATTCACACAATATAATTCAATTGTATTTTAGGTTAGGTTAGGTCCAAAGTGAGTGGGTCTATTCGACCCTCCACCGCAACCCGCGAGGGTTTATTGTGGCTCACATCTATTCACATTCGGTCAAATAAACCCAGCTTCCTAACGATGCCGATTAGTTTGTATGGTGAGTGGTCTCTCAGATTAAATGGGAAGAGTACTCTAAGAGTACTCTAAAAGTTTGATTCGGTCCCTAACGGGGCATGCACAAAGTATATGCTCTGCTGTTTTATCGTTAATGAGGTAGTCTGATAGTCAAGTTGAATATTCCCTCCTTGATACCCGCGACAACCTTCCCATATGAGAATTTTTGAACGTCAGCTACACCTGACGATGCCAAGTTTTACCACAAATCCTTCAACATGCCCATTAGGACAGTCTGGCTTTGTTTACAACTTTTTTCAAGTAAGCTTTCGATTTCTAGATGAGTTTTTGATACAGGATATTTCACCTCCATTCCAAATGGAATGACCCCACCATCTGCTCCCTCAGGCACCAACTGTGAACAACGTCTATGGTGCTTTGGATTATATTACAAGTTACCCTTTCCAACGTGGACCTTGCCAAGATGACAAGACTATCCATCAGGAGCGACCACAGAAAGGGAGATAGTTAGCTTATCTCAGGTCAGAAGTGAGTTGGCCTATTCGTTCCCCCACCGCAACTCGCAAGGGTTTATTGTGGCTCACATCTATTCACATTCGGTCAAATAAACCCAGCTTCTTAACGATGCCGATTAGTTTGTATGGTGAGTGGTCTCTCAGATTGAATGGGAAGAGTACTCTAAGAGTACTCTAAAAGTTCGATTCGGTCCCTAACGGGGCATGCACAAAGTATATGCTCTGCTGTTTTATCGTTAATGAGGTAGTCTGATAGTCAAGTTGAATATTCCCTCCTTGATACCCGCGACAACCTTCCCATATGAGAATTTTTGAACGTCAGCTACACCTGACGATGCCATAGATTCAGCCGTGCAGGGCTTTTTTGCCTCTGGTTCAGGTGAATCATCATTTGAGCGCAAACGCAAGGTTCAGTTATTGGATCCCGAGTTGGGGAGTTGAGAAGCTTTCGCTCCTGAACTAAAATTACAGAGAGGTCAGTTGGAGTCGTAAATTCGACATCCATCTCCTCTGCAGGCTCGCTCCTGAACTAAATTCACAAGGAGGTCAGTTGGAGTGGTAAATTTGACATCCATCTCCTCTGCAGGAGGAAACATTCGATTGCGGGTGCCTTATCAGCGTAGAAGGCTCCGTTATGAAAATGCATGATGGACCTTCCCTCTTCAGCTACTTATGAGACCCTTCATGGACCCCGGAGTAACCAAAGAATCTGGCATTCAGTATTCAGAAAAGATGTAGCATCAGATTTAGTTCGAGAGCTTCTCAGTTCGTCATCAATTCTTCATCCTGTAAACAAACTTTGAAAGCTAAGTGGTGTAGCTAGGAAGCGACTTATCACTCTTATAAAAATAGTATAACTTAAGAATCTGCCTTACACCAAAGTCTTGAGTAGGAGAAGCAGAATTTGCATCATAAGAAAAAACAAACTGCCTCTGAGCGTGTCAACACACATTTACGCTCAAACAATGATCAACCCGAAACAGTGCGATAAAAATCTGCATAGCTAAATCTGGTATATCTTCAGGTACAAATGCTATCATTTCGCAAAGTTGCAACCTTCTTCATATATTTGATTCTGATTAACCAAAAGTTCAAATTTATTGGCAGCTAATATTTCGAAAACCTTTGTGTCAAATACCAAAGTTCAATATACAAGAGAAAATTATAAATACTCGCTACACAAGTTTCACAATGGCTGCCTAAAAAATCTCAGATGTGTGTAAACATAACAAAAAAAATTTACAGGATGTTACGAAACACAATGTTCAAGAAAAAATACACTACAGTTCAACGATGTGGTGGTCTAACGTTTTAACATGTGATTTCAATTAGGAAAGTATACCGAGTGTATACTTTCGGATGTATTTTGTGTATCGGATCCAATTAGGATCCGATACACAAAATACATCGGTCAAGAAAAACATGATCGCGTGTGTTATGTCATTGAGAAATATATATGCATATATATACAGAGTGTATGCGAAAAAACATGAAGTTTTTCTATTGTCATTCAGTGACTTGGGTCACTATCATCGACGAGGGAATACATCCGCACCAGTTATCGTCGAAGGGTGACCAATATGTGAATCAACGAAGTTCGGGATCTTTACGATTCATAGAAAAATAAACACGGTTTATAAATATTTGAGATATAAGAATACTAATTGTGTCCACATCAAGGAGAGTCCAAATCTACAATAAAATGGTCATTTTCCGGTTTTCACTTCCGATCGTCTGATTTCAATGGTTTTGACATCAATGGATTCGTCTCGATGTCAAGAAATATCTTCACGCATTTTCATGAGACTAATAGACATAGACGGCTAACTTCATTGATATTGATTCACAACACAACAAAGTTTTTGTTTCGGGGTTGAAATTAGATGATTTAATGTATTTCCACGTGTTAAAACCGAAAGTGACCATAAAAATTATATATAGCTCTTGTTTTCAAGATATAGTATCATTATATATTGAGTTACTGTATATTGAGTTTTCAACAAATGAAATATTTCATCACCAACAGTTGGTACACATATTTGTTTACATAACACCCCTCTCATCAGCTGTTCTTAAGTAGTAAACATAACCTATGTGAGTTTGTCAATTGTACGCACGTGGTTGCTATTGAAATTATCGTGTGAAGTTGATTTTTAAATTAATTTAAGTGCTGATCTGAAATGCCTCGAAAGTGTGTGAATTCTG